AGCCACATCTAGGCTGCGAAAAGCCAAATTGAGTGTTTTGTTGTTTTGGACCTACACGGATGATATAACAGTGATTAACAGTAATACTACAGAATAACTTATAGCCTTATTGTGAAATTATGTATTGATCTATTCATGCAAGCAACAATTCAAGTTCCTCTTTTCTTGATTATCGCAAAAACATGATGGAAAACGTTTGGTAATAGCTCTGCAATTTAAGGACTTAAGCGAGTCTATATTCCTACATCGTTTGCTCGATTCTCATTTCCTTGTCCATCCGGCTAGTGGCAGAAAAAACAGTGCACATCCGAGCAATTATGCCATTGTCTGAAATTAGTTACGCTTCTTTAACAAATCGTTGTTTTCAAAGGACCAGTCTTAAAACAATTAATGTTTCAACTAACAAGTTGCTGCTTGCAGCTACCTAAATGTTTCTTTTTTCATGATTACCTGGCGATGATGTCGTAAAATATTTCAAAGAGTTCTCAGATAAAGAAATCCATGTTTCCAATCAGTTTCCCAGATCCATGTCATATCTACTGACATCAAAACAACCACAAAGACGGTCGCTGCAAAGTCTTGTCATTAGGATATTTAATAAAAGAATGGCTGCAACCAAATACTGTTTGTGTGAAATGTATACCGTATCGCCTCAAGCTCGGAATATGAAAAACTTTAATCTACAGTTTTAAAGACCTGATTCGACCCATTTACCAATACCATGATTCTCAAGTCATTTGAATGTCACTGAAAGCAGTGGTGAGTACCGATAAATTGATGGAAATCTAATTCCTCATTTGCTTTGTTGGTAGGTTTGCCGATTCATTTTCTCCTAATCAAAGTGATATACCTACTAGAATACAATGTCAAGACTGTGGTGTGTAGGTCCGAAAGTAATTGTACAAACAGGCTGTAACTGAAGCATCTGCATTATGCATGCTCTTCTACAAATTGAATTGCCTGTTATCAGTGCCGGGTCGCCCTATCCAGTTAAGGGAATCGTAAGCACCCCAATGTCAAAATGGGATTAACTGGCCCCACACTCTCTACTCTAAGTAGATTGTTTATCTGAAATTTCTCAAACAAATGACTGTAAATACTTTGGAGAAAGACAGCGAAAAGGCTGCTTATTTTCATCATGTATATTTGATTTGCATATCTCAGCATAGAAATGACTCATTTTGTCTAACAGATTATCGGAATTCCCACAAATCGGACATGGTCACTAATTTTTCAGCGAACAGAGCAGAATGAACGACCACCCGTAGACCCCCTTGTCAGCTCTCCCAGCTTTTAAAGCCAATATTATTGTGTTTTCATTGTTTGCCTGAAAGCCTTTTAAATGAGAGAGAAAATAACTCTATCGTAGGGTTTGGTAAACTAGGAAAAAATATCCGCTTAATTGAAACATTACCAGATTAATCCAACAGCTTCCACGGATCATTGGGCATAAATAAAAAGAAAATATAATTGTCACGCTTACTAGCTTTGAAGTACTCATAAATATCTTATTTTGTGCGATCACTCTTCAACTTTAATCAAATGAGTGTAGGGAAAGTTTTAAACAGATTTCGTTTGCCATTAAGGGAACTCAAGCACAAAATGATTTTTCCTTAAGGCTTGTGATTTCAACATTGCCTTGTAGGAGATAAAATGAAGCTATCTAACTTTTCAAAAAATTCCTGCAAGTTGTTTAAAGGCAAATGTGTAATGCAATTGTTGAGAAAAAGTACGAAAAGATTCGGAAATATTGCGATAACATTCTTGCATCCCACATTGGCAATACAAACCATAAATATGAAATCTATTGGAGAAAACTGCCTTAATTTCCATCAATTTTACTGGCATTGTGAGTAGTCTCCATCTTGTAGATGACTGAAAAAATATAAGTTGATACCATTACTAGACATTAATTTCATTTCTACACTATTTCGTTCAAGCTCAATAATTAAATTTATCATTTTCTTAGGCAACCTGAAATAAACACAATCAGACTTGATGATGCTTCTTAAATATGAAAATTTAAATTAAAGATGCACTAAAAAAGTAATGGAAAAAAGTAATGAAATATTTCCCATGCTCTGCCTCCTTCTGAGGTAAAAGGTTTTGCAAGCAATGCTCTGTTTACTTCAGATAAATACCTCAATATTTTTTCACAGTTGGAAAATACAACAATTCAATAGTCACTGATTGGTAACTTTGCCGGCAACATTGTGACACGAACAAAATAAAAGGAATTCTTTTGCTGATTTCCCAGATTCATTTAAGTCAGCTGGCCAGTGCGCGTGATTGAAAAAGGCAGTAATTAGATTTACCTGCCCATTAATTAAAGAATCTATACGAACTTCGACCTGCCTTCAGATTATTAAAGGGCATCTTTTCTTTGAGTTCCACATTAGTTCGGAAATGAGGTCTTACGAAGGTTCGCCTACAAGCAAGATGGCAGCCGAGCGTAATTGAGTCAGCCCGACGACATTAACAAGATAGCTCGACGTTAGACGCTGTCTTTTCCGTTTTAGATTTTTTTTCCCTCTGCTCAACAAACTTCTTTCAAGTTGTCTATTCTTGGGTAACTTTGTTTCTATCGTTTATCGAAAGTAAAAGTGTGGAACAACGATACTGTGTTTAAAGTTGCTGCCTTTTGTATGATATCAACAATCTCATGTTCGTAAGTCGAACCCGGGACACTGGAAATCAAAGCAAATTTTGATATGTTGCAATTAACAACTGAGTCAAGAAACTTGAAACATAATACAGAATTTTACCAATTAAACCCACAGAGCTACAACTGAAAGTTTTCTCAACATATCTTTTGACATTAAAACCCCTAAGGATTACTCTGCATTTCTTATGTTACAATATTTTTACCAAATATTCCTGTGTAATATTCCAGATTGTTTTCATCCCTCCAAACATTTTCAGCTATTCAAACAAAATCTGTGCAATTGGAGTCTTCTGTCCAATAATGAGCATTTAATTGCTTAATGAAAAATACATGTTGCTTAACGTAGTCTTTGTGTGTTTCCGTTATCTGTCAGAAACGTCCTGCTTCCTGGAGCAAACTTTTGATGGCGGAAGTTGTGACTTTCCTACTACCTAATTACATAATATGCAATATACTAACGACCATATTCTCATTAATCAAGCTCTGGACACCTCAAAAGGAAGGTTCTTTAATTAGAAATTGTTCAAAGCGGGGTCTGAAAGGGGCATCCCTTCTCTTATCATGAGCGGTAGGAATGACTCACACGCTCTCACAAAAGACGGGCCCCTGAATCAAAAAGATAAAGAAAATTAAGTTTAGATTAAACAAAAGAAAATCAGCAATTTCTTCCTCATTTTCTCCAGAGTTGTTGACCGACAAAATTCTCATTACTAAGAAATTAAAAGTGTTGGAAATTAAGCAGAAAGTTAAAGAAAATCACCAATCCTTACTCCAGTAGTGGCATTCAATTACTTTCAAGCCTGTAATCTGACAATTTACACTGCAACACAAACCTTGCCAACTTGGTGAAGAACTTTTCACTTTTAACTTTGATAGTAATGTTTAGCTCATATTTCTAAACGTAATGTTCATAATAATAAGCTCTGCTGCCGTACAGGGACAAGAGGGATAGTTTTTTCACAGAGCCATCAGAATATATGGCCTGGGCCTCTCCAACTAGCAGTGGAGGATGTGGCATGTTGACCGATGCAGCCTCATAATCAAACTCTCATCTGGACATATAACTTGACCGTTGGTCAATCAAATAAGAATTACTCTCAACAAATAGTCATGGAGCGAGGCTTCTTGAAGTCAGGAAAATTGGAAAAGGGGGCAAGGAGAGGCAATACTTGGACAGTGAAACTTGTTCCAAAATCGACGATAGTGAAATGGGCGCTAGTGAAATCGACGAAGGCGGCAATTGCGATCCTGTGGACCCTATTACACTTCCCTATCTTCTTTCTACTGGTCATTTGCCTGTCATCTAAATCCTTTGAGCCGAACAAATTCGGCTGATAAAGCCCCAAAACTAACACAGGGTCTAGGCTGGCATCCCAAGCTGTCACTCAGTCGCCGATTTCTCATTAACTGCCGAAGTCTTTTAATACGCTCCCTAATTCTTGCACCTTCCTAGGTAGGGAATTATCACAAAGTTGGCGGGTGCGAAATCAGCCCTATCTGCTGTTCAATCATCGACAGCCCAAAAATGATAATCATCGGATTTTCTATTACAGCCACTCGGCAAATTTAGTCATCCTAAAGTCATGAATGTTAATAGAAAAATATCAACTCCATAAGATGGCCCAAAAGGATACTCCACTGTTCCCCCTAACAGAGATTTTTTTCACATTGAATCAGGCTGTTTTTTTATTGCGCAACTGGCAAAGTCGCTAGCGAGAGTGTGGGTTTAGGTATTGGGTTGGATTATAGGCGCGTTTGGTTAATGCCGCCATTATGAACAATGAGATATTGAACGGGAGCCCTAAGTGACTGAAATTTATAATAAATGGAAGCAATGGAGGACCAGCGTCCTTCTCCCTGCAGCCATTAATGCCACAAATCCTGCTAAGCATACCAAGGCATAAAATCAACACTCCTGGCATTTTAAGTGTGATTTTAGAAGGTAGATATCGTAATGTCATCATCGCAACGCCATTCTCTTTGACACTGGTGAAAATAAAACAATCTATCATTACCCCTCAAAGCTAATACTTTTCACCGGTTACACTGCACCGACACCCATGGAAAAGTTATAGCTACTAAACTGGACTGGAGATGGGATTATTTTCACATTCGATCAGCAATTGTCTCATCATGGCTAATTCTATTATCCCTGACCATGAGAAATTTATCACCACTACATAAACCTTTTCAGCTTTATGTCGTTCAAGTGAATTTTTTTTGGAAATGCCTGAATTATGTTTTATAATAAGTTCGTAAATAGTTTCAAAGTGGCTAGCAGTTGCTGAAGAAAAGTGATGAAAGTGACATTATTTGGGGTGATGTTTTCACTTACTGAAAGATGCTGAAATAGCCATGCCCTCATGATGTTAGTTGCAACTTTGGGGAAAATTCCACGTTTCTTTTGGCGTTTTGCTGACCGACTGTCTCCTGTTCCATCGTCCTCGCAATCTGTGCCTTCTGCCGACCCTACACTATTGTCAAGGCCATCACCTGCCAGAACAAACATAAAACATTTGAAATATACATACACATGTTGATCACACTGCTGAAATATGCACCAAATCTATGATGTTGACATACGATACGTGCAGACATGTAGAGCTAGCTCATTGTCTGGAGTAACATGTTACCTGTTCAATATTGACGATTATGTAAGTAATATTCTAGAACATGCCACTAGACACATCACCACAAGCATGAAATACCCACTTGTAACCTTGAAATAAACCATGACCATAGACAACTCATTCCTGTCCCAATCAATTCCCCAAAATAAAAACCAATAATTGTTTGATAAACATTTCTCCTTGACTGATGCAAATGTTGTCAATTTCATACCGAAATTGACATGTTTAGTTGGCACCAGTCATCACGTTTAGTGTTGTAAGTACCTCCTGATTGCCAATACACAATGCGACAGATGCGTTCAAACAATCTAATCTTAGATACAAACTTGAGGGCATTTAATAAATGACACTTTCTCAAACCATGTGTACTTTTCATGCCAATCTAAACATGAACCAGTTGACTGAATGATTCTTAAGCCTTTTGCATCCATTGTTGCAAGGAAGCGTCATTGTTGCAGCGTTTTCTTTAGAGGTCAGGGCTTTTCTCACTGACAAATAGGGCATTTACTTTCCACAAATTGTGAAAACAATCTCCGTTTCCTGAAAAGCTACAGCCTGATCGCTTGCGAAAAGAGCTAGAGGGAAAATTCTGGCAAAGCGCGCGAACCTCCATTGAGGAAGATCTGACAAATTTAATTTCTTCCACAAATAATCCATGGCCGAGAGAGTTTCATATGACGCAACTCTCGAGCAAGTGTGTTTACTGAAGTCACGGTTTAGTAACGTTAAGCAGTGGCAACAAACAACATTGGCGAACTGATTGAAAGGAATCATGGGTAATCCGACTAGCTTGCTCGTCAATTTGTTTCTTTTGTATCCTCCGAACAAACTTTGTTGAATTGGGAAAACTAAACCATTCGATTCCAATCATTGGACAAGTCCAGGGACTTCTTAACAGTTTTCTTGAATAAATGACATGGAGGAAAAAACTGGACCCAACATTTACCTTCCTTTTTTTCTGTCTATAAAATTTGTTATTTGTAAAATCATTAATCAAGCTCTATTCATTCAGTAATGTTGACATCTGCAGTTTTTTATGAACAATCACATGAATAAGTTCTATTTGAACTGTTCAGGCGTATTTTTAACAAGTCGTGCACCCAATCCATATCATTTGAAAAGTTGATATTCTCTGTAAAGAGTTATTTTTTTAAAATATTACTTTCTGAAACTTACTCACAGGTTTAAAGACTGACACTTTCAACAAAACCTGTCCCAAATGCACGATGTCAGAACCATGTTTAAAGTTCTCAAGAAGCAGGTTAAAAAATATGAACAAAATAAATTCTGATTCATATCACAAGACAATCTGAGTCACTGAATCACACGTCAGTGAAAGAAATATACAACTCTTACTCAACTCCACTTGTTCAGATCCAATATACAGTGAAACAAATATTTTCATATCCAGCCTATATTTTCATGGAATTGACCAGTACCCCAGAGTGCAGTTGGAAGCCCAAACAAGCAATCAATTTGGGGGGAGGAAAGGTTGGCGGCCTCCTGTAGGCTGAGGGAACAGAGCCTGGCCGAAAGCCTCTCCACTAGATCACCAAAGCATATAAATCACGCGATCGTTGCATGTAGACGCAATTGTGTCACTTTGGAAGCACACAATTTCAATATCCGCACATCGTTACGGGGATGAGGAGGGTTTTCAGCCACACGAGGGCCCAGGCAACACAGCCCCCAATCTCTGCATTGAAAACTTAATTATGATTTGAAAAGATGAAATGCTGAAAGAGAGCATTCTGTGTGTTAAGATGTATTTTCCTGAACGTAATGAAAACTTCGAAACTGTTTCACCCTCTGCTAAGAAACTTTGTTCTCCTTGATGATGAGATTTTGATGAGAGAGTAAACAACATTAAAAGCATTTTGTAAATAATGCATGTGTGAAAAGATATGCCAAAGTAAATAACATTTTCAACAGCTTAAATGAAGCATTAATAATTAATTAAAAAAACTTAACTGAAATTACATAAAATATGTTTAAAATAACAAATAAGTAAAAGTGAAAAAAATTCTTAATTAAGTCCAAAAGTTCAATACATAACATCTTCATGTAAGAGGAGTAAAAAGTAACCAGCAATAATACCGACAATGCATTCATAAAGGGAATATTTTACTGACACGCATAAGTAATGAGAAAACTATGCTAACCCACATTAGTTAAGAGAACCATTTACATCCTGAAGCAGTTTCCAGATACTCCCTGCCTACAAGAGGATGGATGCTGGGTACTGAAGATGAAATTCATTAGCTATTTCTAAGAAAGAGTCAACTGAAACTGTCTGTCACTTCCCGTTTAAGTCACCATCCATCTTCCCTTCCATCATCTTCCGTTAGTGTCACGATTCTTTGTACCAACTTGCCTAACAAGACTCGCAGGAAATTCCCACATAGGTAAACTCAAATGTAATACAGGTAGAAAGGCACATCAAAAAGCTTGGGAAACCTCATAGGATATTGACAGATCCCAAGTGAAATTAACGTCAGACGTATATTACAGCTCATGTCAAGAGGAATGTCTTTGAATTGGCCACTCCTAATAAATCTCAATAACTTCCTTTTTTTCAAATTTATGCATTTTTAAATACTGGTATCATTTTTTTAAAATATCGTTTTAAATTCAATTTCGGAAATGAATTTTCTAATCAATTTGAGCCCATCAATCATTATTGTGACAGTCATTGACATGTTTCATGTATATTACATGCCGACTTCTTCTGACTGATGATCAGTGATGGGCAAAAAGGAACAACTGCATTGACACACCAGCCATGGACGTTTATGAAGATGGAATATTTGTATTATGAAATTATGAAATTCCACACTAATTTGGTCATCTACCCCACTGGCGTTCCCGTAGAACATCAAATACTAACACAAAGACACGCAGAGGTCAAAGTAAAGAGACTCACTCGATAGGAAAATCCACGATCCAAAATTGATATGATGTTTGCAAATTAGATTTACTATTTTCTCAACCATGTTAACAGGATTTTTTGCCCCAAATTGTGCTGCACATTAGGTTTGATTTACTACTTGTGAAAGACTGCAAGACATATGGTTCAAAATGGATTTTTAATGCAGTACTTAATTTTTTTTTAAAGTCGTCTACTCAGGGTAAAATGTGATCTTTCATGTGGCCAGGATCCAGAAAAGCATAGTAGAGCGGGGACATTATGTAATTTACCTCTCGGTAGGCTAAACGCTTTATGAGGAATTAATGTAGTCCCCAACCTATTCATGTGTGGGTATTTCACTCTTCTGTATACTATACAAGTACAACTACATTCAGGCTTCATTTTGCCATAGGAAATAGAAATTTGACAGAGGTGCTGACCTGATCTTTGAAGCAATCACCTCATACAGAATACAAGATCGCCGATTTCACCAACAAAATGTCCGCATTTACAACATCATTGATGCATATTACCGTTTGTCTGTCCATGGAAATTAGATCTGTATTTGTAGTTTTGAGCATTGTATCTAATATGAAACCATTAGAAGGGGCCTTTCACAAGGATCAAATTACCTTACCAATTTGCCCTAATCCACAGAATTCAATCTCGTTACTATCACCAAGAGACAGACGCCGCAGCGACGTGCACCCAATGTTGGCTTGTTACATGTGGGACAACGTCGACTACCAGCACCCGATTTGCTAACTGCTCCATGGCAGGAGGTCGCTGGCCTGTGCCTGACAACGCTGTCCTCCATATATTTATTGCTCGAACAATTGTACCGAAAAACCAACAATAGCCTCATTTATAGCAGTGATGGGGGAAGAAGGTGTGTGTTTGACAGCTGAAACCATCTCCCAGGCTATGTCGTTTTGTCGTCAATTGCGCGCTGGTTTGAGAGGCCTGGTATTGGCAACACCATTTCCAACACCCCGGGATGTGGCCACGAAACAGAACCGATGCTGCCCACCGACCCGCTGGAGTCCTACAGACTGCAACTCTCAACAACAATGCCCTCTGGTGATAAAAGAGAGAACTAGCCCCATTGGGAGTATCGTTTTTCTCAACGCCAGACTTGCTAGCAGAGGCTGTATCATCACCTGGTACCAGTCGGACTCTCTCCGTGGACCCTACACTCCTCCCTACCCTCGTACTACCGGTGAAGAAATGCATAATTCATGATTTTATCGAATCAAAAATATGACTCTCGGTACCCAGGCTGTGTCCCTGTGCGGTTATCAAGCATCCGCATCCAATGTTGAATGTAGTCCGCGCTGTCTCATGGTCAATTATAGGTATTTCCAGACCCCAACCTCTCACACATGCTTACTGAACTCGTAGATCATTCACAAAAACGATTAAAATCTTCCAGGGGATAAAAGCCAGTAAGCTCCCTTTATTCTTGTCAGTTAGATATGAACAGGCTGAAAAAATGCCATTGGCAAGCAGCTTAAAAGCCTACAACTAAGAGTTATGATGCTCCATTGCACAATTATTTACTAAAAGTATCCCAGTGACAGCCAACTGACCTCATAGTAGTCAATAACATGACTTGATGAATTAGCAAACGGAAAAACCAACATGGACAAAAACTGTTTTTCATAGGTCGGGGAGAAAGCATTAATCACTAACTGCACAATCAACATAGTGAAATATGCCTCCCCTTATAACTTGATCCAGTATATAGACACAGCAATCAACATCACTCTTCCTGGCATAAATACTAGTTTCCTCATTCCAAACACACTGGGCAATTAATCTTATCAAAATTTCAAAATTCAGGTGAAAATTTGAGAGGACTTACAAACATAAAAGAGCAATTGTAAAGTATTTTGGTCCAAGAAACAATAAAATATTCATTCTATTCATTGCAGCGCTGTGTCTATGAATGCCAA